GGGGGGGGGGGGGGGGGGGGCGGGCGGTCCGCCGGGGCGGGGGGGGGCGCAGCATTTCGGCGAGGCCTCTGGGGGCTCCATTTGAAACGTTGCACATCGAAAAGCCAAATGAGGCGGCTCATTGGAAACCTTCTGATCAAACTGACACCCCCCAGGCCTGTCAGGTAAGCTCCCCCTTTGCCGCTAAATGTCCCGCGTGTTTGGGTGACGTCTCTCTGTGCCGCCAGCTACCAGAGGCTGCTGCAGACCATCGGCGTGCTGGAAGCCCAGCGGACCCAGGCCATCCTGGACCTGGAGGCTCTGGCCCGGCATCAGCAGCAGGCCCTGAGTGACCCCGTGGACTTCGTGGAGCGGCTGCAGAAGCAGGTATGGCTCCGAGCCCCTTTCGTACTTTTCAGTACTGACAGTTATGATTCATCCGTGTTTCTGTCTGTCCATTTCATGCTTACGAGGCTTTGCACGCTGAGGCTAGGCTGTGCTGCCGTGTTAACAAAGCCCTGGGGATCGGAGACTTTTCGCCTGTTATGCTCGGTGTTCTTGGATCGGGAGGCTTGTCATACAGATCGACGTGAAAGCAGTGTTTTGAGTTCAGCCGTGTTCATTTAGGCCTCTCCCTGTCCCTGCTGCATTCTGGGTAGATGGTTCTGGGCCTGCCGGGCCCTCAGCGGGTGGTCCAGCTCCCAGACATCGCCTGGGACCAGTACACCTCGGGCCTGGGGGACTTCGAGCGGGAGTTCTGCGACAGGAAGCGGAACACTCGGAGGACCAAGCTCATCTTTGATAAAGGTGAGAGCGCAGTGCTGCCCCCCGAATGCGAGACACGCCCCCCCGACACGCCCCCTGTCCTTATCCTCTGCGGAAGGACGTCTCCGCTTCAGCCCCGACACGCTGCTCCCGTCTGTCCCTGCACATACGCCCTGTCCTTCAGCCCCTGATATGCCCCCTACTGTCTGTTGAGTTTGCATATTTACATTGGCTGCTATAGGCCTTTGAGGTCACATGTGGCTTTTTTCCGCAGTGGGGTTGCCAGCTCGACCAAAAAGCCCTCTGGATTCCAAAAGGGATGGCGAGTCTTCAGCACTGTACACCGCACTGCCCTCTAGTGACGGTCCGGATCACAGCAGCTCCAGCAGCCGTTCTCAGGTACCGTCACCCGAACCAGCAGTGCCTTCTTTGCTGTGTGTTGTGACATCTGTGTGTCTGCGTGACCCATTTGGTGTCTGAGAAAGGAGGTCGTTCTGAGAGCCAGATGCTACGCTCTTTTTTTTTTTTTGATATCTGCGGTTCCTCTTCACTGATTGTCTTTACACACTCATCTGCTTTGCTCCCCGCTAAACACACACACACGCACACACACACACACACACGCACACACAAACACACGCACACACCTGTTACGGCACGTTTGCCAGAGTCTGTTTCTGTGGAAACACTGAAGCCCCTCCCTCTGGCTCCGCTATTTGTGGCTGTGGCCGCTTCGTGTGTCTCAGGCTAATGAACCTTCCGGCCTGTTGGTTGGCGTGAGCCCCCCCCCCCAGGGTCCGCAACTGATACGGCAGCCTTTGTGTTTGTGTGCATTTAAGCTCCTTGCTTATTGCAGGACTTGGTTATTATGGTAGTAGGTAGACATGGTGCTGTCTCACAATCTTTATTATGAAATTATTTTTTTTAATAGAAAGAGTGGGGGTCTAGTCCACAGTGTGTGTATCTGTGTCTGTCTGTCTCTATGCCGTATATACCTGCTCCTTCTGTTTCCTTCCTTTTTTCCCTGTAACCTGTTAGTTACTCTTTCCTTGTCTCTCCCTCAGATGATCAAGGGCAGGAATTGTGACCAGAATAAATCAGATACGTTCAACCAGCTGTGGACCATAGAGGAGCAGGTATGGGTGACACCCCCCCCCCCCCCCCCCAGCAGCGTTTCCAAACCGGGGGCCTTTGCCAAACACCTGCTCTTCTGGTTCCCCCCCCCCATGCAGAAGAAGCTGGAGCAGCTCCTGTTGAAGTTCCCCCCCGAGGAGGTGGAGTCCAGACGCTGGCAGAAGATATCGTCTGGGGGCTGGATAGACGGCTGTAATTAAAGGCAGGGTGATGACTGGGCAGCCTGAGGGATGGAGTGTCGGTCGCCTCGGCCGCGTGTGAA